CGGCTAGTAGAGCCAATAACCTTCGTCAACAAAAAGCATGTTTTTCCCACACGTTCTTCCCCCGTAATAAAAGAGATGTGATACAGGCCCTCCGAAACCAATAAAAACCCGCGCGCGCGCAAAAATGGTGCCTCGAAAAAGCGGCCGCTTATCCCAATGATAACCCCCAAGATGATAGTCCCCAGTGATAATCCTGAACGCCAAACTAAAAAGATAAAAGAAATAAAAGGAGCAGAGCCGTCATATCAAACAAGTATAAAAGAAACCATCATGACAAGAAAGACTGACCCTCGGCTTCTACGCCGAGGCAGCTTCCGCCTTGTCGGCCTTCTTTGGTGTCTTCTCCTTCTTGGGGGCAGCGGCCTTCTTGGGAGCAGCCTTCTTGGGCGCGGCCTTGGCGGCGGGGGCAGCCTTGGTGACGTCGACCGGACTTGGTCTTGGTCAGGACAGCAGGCTTCTCCTCAGCAGGGGCTTGGGCAGCCTGGATAGACAATGTCAGCGGGTATTCATGAAAAAGTCACGTGGGTGTGTCATAGGATGCTCACCTTCTTGGGGGCAGCCTTCTTCTCCTTCTTCTCCTTGGGCGCGGCAGCCTTCTTAGGGGCAGCGGCCTTCTTCTCCTTCTTCTCCTTGGGAGCGGCCTCCTTCTTCTCCTTCTTCTCCTTGGGAGCGGCAGCCTTCTTGGTGGCAGCCTTCTTCTCCTTGGGAGCAGCCTCCTTCTTCTCCTTGGGCGCGGCGGCCTTCTTAGGGGCAGCAGGCTTCTTCTCCTTGGGAGCGGCAGTCTTCTTGGCGAGCTTGGTGCCGCCGGAGGGGCCCTTGGGCTGCTCGAAGATGCCCTTGTCGACACCAGACTTCAAGGCCTTGTTGAAGAGGGAGTCGAACATGTTGTCAGAGGCATTGATGGTGTTGTTGCTCTTGACATACTTCTTGAGGGATTGACGGCTGGCGGCTGAGTCAGTCCGAGGCGTTCATGTGATGTGTGAATGAGATAATTGTGAGGTGAGAGTGGGCGGGTGAGCCAAAAAAACTGTGGTGGGCGGTCGCATTTGCGACACGCGCATCGTTGTGGATGTTCTCGCTACGCGAGATGGGTGGATGGGAGAAGAAAAAAATGCAGAAATTTTCTTACCTGGAGCCATTGCGATCCTTGAGCTGCAATTCAAGAAAAAGCAGCGTCAGTAAATGTGATCATGAATGCAAAGTGGGCAAAATCCGAGCGTAGTGAGACGTGGGATCAAAGACATCATGAGCTTCCTTCATCCTCATCCCACTTGCGACCGGACGCGTCGGCATGAACCAACAGGGGCAGTGAAAATTACCTGAATGATGGCATCCGTGATCATGTCCTGAATAAAAGTTAGATACGACTGATTAATCAAGAACATGTCCGATGTATAGACTTTTCATACCTGGTAGGAGGGGTGGACGGGGGCGGCCTTTGCCTTGGGGGCAGCGGCGCCCTCAGTCTTGGTCTCGGTCTTCTTGGGAGGCATGGTGATGGTTTGAAGTGGTGTTTGTTTGTTTGGTGTAGATGACAATACAGATGCTAGATGCTGTTCGAAGCGGAAATGGACGAGTCGGACAGAGAGGGTGAAGAACGGCTTGCAAGTTCGGGGTGGACGAGAGAAACCAGGGACAGGAGGGTGGGCGGGCTGTCGCGCTCGGGGGGGTTGATCGGGTGTTTATATATGGAAGCGGGGGTCTCGCCCACCCCCGAGTGATTGTGCTGATTGTGCCCTGGAGCTGCCCAAATTCCCGGGGCAAAAGCTCGCAGCTTTGGTGCAAGGTATGGCCCGTGCCCCCCACTAGAAGCATGCCTAGAGCTCCCAGGCATATGGCAGACACGCCCGTTCCCAGCATCCATGTCACCCTGTCTTGCTCCGAAAAAGCCCAGATCATGTGGGGACCTTACACTCTGTGAGGTGGCATCATATGGCTGCATCACCAAAGTGCATGAGGTGTGAGGTGTGAGTGAGAGACGGGAGCGAGTAAGTGAGTGCAGCCCAACGTGCGTGGCTACCTAGGTCCCTTGGTGAGGTGATGCCATCTCTGTTTTACGCACACCCTTTCGTCACTCAACCCCAACCCGACGGCATGGCCTGGATGGATGGATGCCCAATCATTGTCTTACTCAACCATTCACTGCTGAAGAACTTCTACTTCTTGTGGATGATGGAGGCAAGGGACGAGGCACAAGGTGCATGGCGGGGAAGGCCAGTCATACAGTTATCTATCTACTACTACGTACACTACCCAACAACCATGAGCATGGGAGGGGTGGCTGTCACCCATCATTCACCACGGGGTCATCCGAACGGGGAAGCCTTCTCGATCTGCCGCTAAGCTGAATTGGAACCCTGGACTGTTCGTCATCGTCATCGTCAAGATCACATAAGGAACCCTGGATCATGTCAGTGCTAAAAAGGGAAAAAAAAACAGGTGACATGCCGCTGCCAGACAGGCGGGGTGAAGGGGGGAGGGAGAAGAAAAAAAGGATGCAGAATGCCAGATGGATCATGGAAGGGAGGGAGAGAGAGGGGGCGGCAGGCGTGCCGGGATTCTTGGGGTCCTCCTTCGATCACTTGCCGCTCCCCGTTATTTTGGCGCTTTCCCTCTTTGGGCGGGCATTTAAATCGGAAACAAACAAAAAACTCGCAGCGTGCCTATTTTCTGATTGGCCCGTTCAACGACACCGGATCCACCTTGTACCTCGAGTTGTCAATCATGCGCACCCCGCCTGTCGAAAGAGCATCTCTGATCTTGAGCTCGCCCCGACTCCCCCTTCCCTCGGTTTGATTCGAGTTCCCACGCTTCTTCCCTTTTCTCGACCCGGGTCCGCAGCACATGGTTGGAATCACCCGACTCTGCTCTTCTTTGTGTGCTTTTTATTTCATTTTTTGCGCCCGGGGACCGCGGGGCATTGTTCCAAATACCGATGACCATTTCCGAGACGAGAGTTGGCATTCAAGCATCTGTTTTCGGACGCGATTTGGCTTCACGCGCCTTGGTCGGTCCAAACCATCGCCCTCTGGCGCATTCAACACAGCACCTCACCAACCCCTGCTTTGTCGTAGAAGAATACATCAGTTCGATCGGGCAATTGATGCCGTTTCTTCCATGTGCTTGTTTTTCGCACTGCACCGTTGTTGCCTGAGATATCTGCACTTGAAGCGAAAGTCACTCCTGATGGTGGGGCGGCTCGGGAGCTGCTCGTGAAGCTTTGGTTGAAGCTATCCGCATCTCAACCCTTCCACACTTTTGCCTCTTCCCACAGCCCACCACATTGCTTTTCGCTCTTCAAACATTGATAGATCACTCCGAGGGGCTCTTGTTTTTGTTTTTGTCACTTTTTTGGTTTGCTCCTGGTCAATTGAGGCCAATTCAGGCACCATTTCCAACGCCAGCAAGGTGATGTCGTGTCGATCTGCACGTTTGGCCAGCTCATTCACCCTTCGATTGGTCCACCACAACAGCTTTCTTTTCCTCGATATGAAACGGTAATTATCTTTTCTGCGAGCCAGGTTCACTCCTGCGCAAGTGTTCTCCGAGGGGAGTTGTTTTTTCAGCATTGCTGTGTGTCACTTTGATGCTGCCGCGTCACGCGGTCAACGTGGGTTTGGCATCAGGCGAGCCGCCCGGTTTCTTGATGTTCCTGGATTCATGTCAGCCACACATATGCATGGACAGCAGATGATGGTGTTGACGAATGGTGTGCGATAAATGGTGAAGAGAGATCATTTTGAGCGAGTACTGTGATGATTCAGGAGGCTGGTGTTCACGTTCCTGTTCAGAGCGACTTCGATGGTCGGGCGTCATCTCACGAGTCGACCTGACCAACCGCCACGATTACGTCGACACTTATCCTGCCGCCCACGTTTCGGTCGGGGTAACTGAGAAGAGTCATCATCAAGGGTGCAAATTTCAAAAGAAGTCAAAGGTGGACATTTGGTGTCTCGTGGATCTTGTCAACTGGAATATGCCCAACTAGTTGAAGTCTGATTAGTCGGTAGTCTAGTGACCACATCTGTAAACTAGGTTCAAACTAGAGATAGTCCATTCGTACAACATAGAGATAGCTCAGAGCTTCAGACATTAGCCAATACATACCATCCATGTGATTTTCAACTTCTATGTCCTTAGGTGGTGTTCACAATAACCTGCGCCGGAAACACCACCACCTCCTCCTCCCCTTCCCCTCTCAAATCCCCCTTCTGCACCACCAAAGGAAACAAAACAACCCTCACCACAGCCCCCTCGAGATCCCCCTCCGTGTCCCCCCGACCACCCGGTTGCGTCATCAACGACGAGATAAAATTCACCGTCGCCGCCAGCTCCCCATTCTCATTGTACTCGGGCATCAACGGCGGCAACACCATAAACTCAGCCACCTGCGTCCTCATCTCAATCGACAGATTCACCGCCTCACTCACCACCCTCCTCAGCTGCACCCTCAACTGCTCTTCCAAATTCCCCGGCGGCGGCAACACCTTCGACAGCGCCTCCAAAATCGCCTCTGCCACCGCAACGGCATCCCTATCCCTCTGTTTTCTGAACGATTCCCTCCTCGACCAGAGCCCCAGCGTGGTAGCCCTCCAAGCACGAACCGTCGCCGTCGGCCCAATGTCCGTTAGCTGTTTTTCTAATGACTTGAGCTTGAACCTCTGCTCCCGGTCCATGCCGAAGAGGTAACGGGTGAAAATGAATTCCCAGATCATTGACATGGTGACAGAAGTGAACATGTCCCGGCGTTTCACCCTGTCACGGAGGTAGTTATCGGCGTCGGAGCCGTCGAGGACAGAGTTATCTAGCCGGTCGATGATGTTTTCATCGTTGATTTCCGAGGTGAGGCGGCTGGCGCGCATGTCGGAGAATTTGGAGAAGCGGAGGACCCATTGGGTGACGGTCGTGAAGAGGTGCTGGCAGCGCTGTCCAAAGTATTCGGTGGTGTGGATTGTTCCGAGCTGGGTTGGTTGGGCTTTGAGGATATCTAGGCTTGTTGGCAAGCTTTGGGAGGTCGTGGGTTGGGTGGCAGCCTCTTCGGGAGTGTCGGTAGTAGGTTTGGGTGCAGGTTGAACAACCTCGGATGCTGTGGATGGCATCGGCGAGACTGCTGTAGGGTCACCCCTCCGGTCACCGGATGGCTCGGATGTAGACACGAGAAACGATCGTGATTGGGTTTTTGAGTCGAAGCTGATGTTTTCCAGAGCCATGATCGATTGCGGACTTTTCGTGCTAGTCCTGTTGGTGACGACCTCCTTCGCCAAAGCCATCATTCGTCGGTAGGCTCTCGAGTTGACAACAGTGTTATCAAATTCGAACTCGACGCCCTCGGCCACAGTGTTTCCATCCCCACGGAAGATTGTGTCGGCAGTCCTCCGCGGATTCAGAACAGACTCGGCAATTTGAAGCTGAGGATTCGCCAACCGCAAGGACGCCGCCTTGGTCGCTTGCCTGTCTAGCAAACCTTTCCCGTTTCTGACGCCCTCGAGAATCTCATCGGTAGTATTCATGTGCAACACTTGAACCAGAAACGCAATCGCGGACTGCTGTCCTTGCAATAGCGATAGATACCCTTTCATCTCCCCCTCATTTCGCACAATCCGCGCTTTAGTCCACCACGTCCGCACAAGCGAGCGACGGGACTCCATCAGTGCGGTGGCATCGCAGAGTTTTTCGAGGGAGTCCTCGAAGCAGGTCAGTACGACTAGGCAACCGGTGAGGGTTGTGTCGAGGGTGTGGACGACATCGGCCTGGCCGCGGACGGTGTGGTTTTGCAGGATGAGGGTCTGGAGCTGGGACAGGCCGGTCTTGATGGCGGCGCATTGGGAGGAGAGGGCGGTGATGGTGACTTGAGCGTTTTGGAATTTGGTGTGGAGGGTGTCGAGGGCGCGGGCTGCTTGGAGGCAGATGCCTGTGATGCCTGCGATCGAGGCTGTTATCGAGAGGGGGTCCATTGATGGTGCCTAGTCACCCACAATGGGCCGCGCCGGTTGATGCCGAAAAAATACGGCACGTTAATACCATCTCTCAAGACAAGTTTTTGAGTCTTCGTGATCATCAGGAATCGTATCCAGCTGGGGGCGCATAAGGCATCTTTCGAGGCTATGCTGCAGGATTGATTCTTGGCGGCACATAACTGGTCGATGGACTTGTTCGGAAGAAGTGAGGAAATACCACTCGATAGGGGATCTACACCTAGAGTTTGAACTTTGAATTCAACAGTGGCTTCAGCTGTCAAGTCGGGATGATGGACACGACTGATCTTTTTGCTGAACCACTTTGAACAGCCGCTAAAATAGGTACCTTAGTCGAGCAAATAACGTAGACCATGAGTTGCTACCAGGTAGCATGACACTGGCATATCACGAACTCTCTTCGAAACCAAATCGCAGTTCGCATGAGGATGTCACATCCTACATTATTCACACTCCCTCAGATTCAAACTCACAAGTGACACCAACATAATGTCATCAAATAATCAAACAACATGTCT